TAATTTTTTACTTTCAGATTTTTTCAATAAAAAGTTTTATTAAACTAATCAACATTTTAAGCAAAGATGGATAAGGACTAGCAGTGGAATCCAGAACACTCGTTTCTTCCTCATTCGAACTAATCAACTGGATGCGCCGGCATCTCACTGTTGATGTTCATTCTGAAACTCGAACACAGTACCATTCGATTTAATTGCCATCGCATTATTAACTTGGCTACTGAGTGAATTTAACCATCACCCAATTTAACGAGCAAGTGGCTATTTGAACTCAGTAGCTAAGTGAATAAAGTGATGGCGTCCGAAGCGAACAGTAAAGGGTTTGAGTCACACAGTGAACATCAACTCTGAAATGCAGGTACATCTAGCTGACCAGTTGCATATAGGATGGAACTCGAGTCCTAGATTCCACTAATAACCACTACCGATCTTTGTTTATAATTCTTGTGAATTAAGACATTATCGAAGCAATCTGAACAGGATGCACATATGCCAACAAGAGACTGATCAATTGCAATCCTAATGATCAATGGGACTATTCAAGTAAACAATACCAAGTGAATTTTATCACTTTTAATTAACTTTAATGATTTAGATTATGAAAGTTTGATTTAATTAGATTTCATAGTGTAAATATTTTTGTTACGCATAATAACAAATGTTATGTGTTATTTTTTTAATTATCAAAATGAACTTTAAAATTTGGTACGATCTCATTTATATCAATTCAATGACAGGGAGTGTAGAAGAAAAAAAAACAATTTATAACTAACCTTGTAGACCATTTCATCCAACGACTAAATCCACAAACAGAATAAATGATTAAAAATAAACTATTAAACAATCCAATACATGCATACATTGCATAAAAATTAATGGAATATGTTTCAGATATGGTATAAATAACTGGGATAAAAAAAAGAGTAAAAAGAAATGAAAAAATAAATTTAAAAAATTGTACATTGAACAATGATAATGATATGGTTAAAATAAAGTATTCAATATAAAATTTAAATAAAATGTTATGAAATGATATTGGCGGGTAATAACTTTCAACATTTGGATATGGGAAAGAAGCCTATAAGCATTTGAACTGTAATTATTAAATTTGAAATTCAATGATTAAATCTTAAGAGTAGAGTTTGTAACTTTTCTCTTAGATTTGGATATTTTTTGTATACAATAAGCTTACAAATACCTGAAATTAGATTTTCAATTCCTAGTTATAAGGAGAAGCTTTGGATGTGGAAACGTTCATGTACCTGAACCAGTATCGTCAATGTGAAATGAGGATTTTATGAGGATGTAAAAGCGAGGGTTGGCAAAGCGAGGACAGTATTTCTATAATTTAGAAACATCTGGAATTTAAAATAACCGTTAACCAGTATCAAAGTCAAAATTTTCAATATGAACGTCCAGAAAGTCCTACAGTATGGAGCTAAAACGTGGAGAACTACCACAACTATCATCAAAAAGGTACAAGTACTTATCAGCAATTGTCTACACAAGATACTCAATGTCCGTCGGTTGGATGCTATCAGCAACAGCCTACTAAGGGAGAAAACAAACCAACTTCCAACTGAGGAGGAAATTAGGAAAAGACATTGTAAGTGGATAGGACACACATTAAGGAAATAATGAAACTGCATCACGAAGCAAGCGCTAACCCAAAATCTTGAAGGTAAACTGAAAAGAGGAAGGCCAAAAAACACACTGCGTCTGGAATTGGAAGCAAACATAAATAGCAACTGGAAAGAACTGGTAAGGATTGCGAAGGACAAAGTTGGATGGAGAGTGTTGGTGGGCGGTTTATGCTCTTCAATGACAGGCAACAAGAGTAAGTACATAAGAGATGTATATGATTTGCTTATAGGTTAATAAATTATATTCAATTGAATCGTGTTACCTATTAGTGAATAAATAGATAATTATTGCATTTTATTTGTGGACTTCTAACATCATATATTCATGAATGTCAATAAATCATATTATCTGAAGAGATTAGCATAATTTATTACTAAGTGAATATCTAATGTTGACTGGAAGTATTGAATAAAAGCATAGATGCTGTAATTTAAATTGTAGGCCATTTGAAGCCTGATTTCATTCGATAAGTAGCCAGAAGAATTTAAACTAGAATCGTAAATTATTTCAGATATCTATACAATTTTAAGTTCAGACTAAACGCTAAATATCATAGTTCAAACAAGTTGTAGGGTTAGCTTACAGTTTCTTGATGAAAGATTCTAAGACACCTCTGTTTTTTCTCAAGTGTTAGCAAAGATTCCAAACAAGCAATTGGGAATAGTTATATCTAAACAAACCAGAGCTAAACGTGTATGTAGATTAGAACATATCAATCTTACCAACTAATCATTTCAACCATCAATATATGGTAAAGATATATAAATCCAGTGCTTTTCATTTTAATGAAAATAAAAACATAAACTGATGTAAATTTAATCGACTGTTGAGTATCGAATAGGGGAAATCAATTGACATTGATTTATAGTAGTTTGATCCGACATACCGTGAAGACGTTTTTGCTATTTGTCAAGTTATCAGTTATTATCTTTAACACTTGGATAATACACTCATTTTCAGTCAAAAGTTTTATCTCAATAAAGATAAAATGTACGTACACTTGAATTAAAGACTTGTATCATGATGAATTTCTTTAAAATTCTGAGTTAGAATCAAAGGATTTCATCATATAAAGCAAACTGATTAGTAACAGTTTGAAAGATAAGTGTTTCTGTTTGAAAAGTAATACGAAAATTTGAAGATATGAATAGTTTTAGGATTGCATTACAGGCTTTAGATATGCAAGTCAAGCAACAACAAAAAATAGCTGATTCTTTTAATCTCCTGTTATCAACCAACTTACAGACAATAATTCTGACATATGGTATTGACATAAGTTTGTTTAAGATTACCTTACAAATAGTTTAAATTTTATTTCTATTTCACGTATTTAGTATCATTCTTTCATGATCTATCAAATGTGTAAACAGAGAAATGTGAATAATTTTTTATCATGGTTACAAAGTGCAAAATACTTATCAAAATAAGATAATTTAAAATATCCTAAATTGGAATAGTTGATGTATATACAATAAAGGCTTACTTATCTATATTGAGAAAAACACAAACATATATATATACACTTCTAAATACCATCTGAATAATATCCCTTTTGTTATAAGATTATTTCATACATTAATATTTATGTTGAATGAAAAACAAATAACTTACTTTTTATGTATAATGCTAATGGAGCTGTTGATAAAAGTACAAGTAATGGTTGACCTCCAAAAACTCCATAACATAATCCACCTATCGTTTGACCCATTATTACACGTGTAACATCTGGAAAATTATATACATTAATTTGATCATTCAAAATAAAAATATGAAAACAATAATTGTGATAAATAATTTAAAAAAAAAACAATGGTTATTAATATCAATGTTCTTTTTTGGTGAAGTTCATACATTTAAAAGGAAAACATCATAAAGTTGTTGTTATTATTTACGGAAGTCATGAAAATAAGTGTAAACTAAAATCTTCCTATACTCATAATAATCATGTTTTCACTAGTGACTTGGATTAAGATACATTGGCTGAAATTCAAGTGGAATTCCGTGTCTAGTCGAGTTCAACCAATTTGGGTATGAGACAGTTATCTATTAAAGGCAACGGAGATGGTCACACAATACCCTGAATTGAGGTCAGGCATTCTATCTCTGGTAGTGCGGTCGTGGATCTATGCCCTCGAATAGCCCCATACAGGAAGGAAACGGCTGTTCGGTGCTTTCAGGTTTTCAACAGTGGTTTAGCCAAGACCACGTTGTGCTTTAAACTATGAAAATTCTACAACTTCCACAAGCCATCCCTATGCTAAACAAAATAAATCGATATAATGTGCATTGAATATCAACTTTTCCTTGCGTAAATCATTCCTATCATACTACTTATTTGCTAGTTTTCGTCATAAGAATATGTTTTAATATTTATCACGCTTTTATTCACTAATGTATACTGGCACATAACTTGATGAGTGAAATATGAAATTATGATATCCCAATAGAGGATATTTAAGTTTGTCCTTTGTTTTTAATATTTTTGTCCCTTTTTAAATCCTTCAGAGAGAGTTAGTTAATATTACATTCTAAGTTTACGAAGGAAAACGTTTTTCCGTATTTTTATCGTCAATTAAGTGATATTTTTCATGATTTACCGAATGTATTCATTGTTGTATTGAGGACATAGATGTTTCAGATGGTGGAATTATAAATTATTTCCCTCCTTTCTATATGGAAATATATACTTTTACATCCCTACAGTTGGTGGCTAATTCTGATTTTGTTGACTGATTTAGGTAACTAAACTAGAAGAATCTCAAGTGCCTTCCGGAACATAAAATCGATAACTTATTTACTTGAACACTTTGAACTCCTTTCTCATTTTCTTTCTGCTAAAGATGCATTCTATCTTTCTAGTACTAAGTAACTGACAACAAAAAGTATTTTAATGTGTTCCTATTTATCAATTACATTAACTATGTCGCATATTGTAACTCAAGAGAAAGAAACTTTATAATAAATTATTTAATGAATTCTTCGATGTAATGTACCAAGGTTGAAAATATCAGAGATGCTTAAAATTGACAGATTATTTACGACAATTTTTTATTGCGAAATTCCCTATGTACTTAGTGATGAACAAGAAATCAAAAGTTAATATATTCGTCATTATTTTTGATTTTTTTGTATGAATAAAAGTTGAACTAAGTGAAAACTTCATCCTAATTAGTACTTGTCAATAAAGTAAATCTTCAATCTTAGATAAACTAATATTCCCTATCTGATTAAAATACATTATTATTCACTTGGTCCACAGATTGCAAACTGATCAATCAGCACTAAGAACTTGATAATTATGGTATTAGTTATTATTTAGTGTTCAACCACTGACTATAAGAATTCAAACACTTAGATGTAATTATAAATCTATAAAACTATCGAGGATGATAAATACAAAACATAGTATAGAATGTTTGTTTGAATATTTCTGTAGATCTGATGTTTATCTATACCCTTTTTAAAGGTTGTATCACAGTTAATCCTATAAACAAAGATAGATAATGGCTAACAGTGAAATCCAGAACGCGCGTTTCGTACGATGTGAATCAAGGTAGTATCGAGGCAATACGCACAGTATGCATATACGCCAATAAGAGACTCATCAATTGAAGTTCTAAACATCATCGGGAAGATTCAAGTAAACAATACCAAGTGAATTTAAACTCCACCCCGTTGAACAAGCAAGTGGCTATTAGAACTCAGTAGCTAAGTTAATAAAGTGATGGCGTCCGAAGCGAACGGTAAAGGGTTTGAGTCACACAGTGAACGTCAACTCTGAAATGCAGGTATATCTAGCTGACCATTTGCATATAGGATGGAACTGGAGTCCTAGATTCCACTAATAACCACTACCGATCTTTGTTTATAATTCTTGTGAATCAAGACATTATCGAAGCAATCTGAACAGGATGTACATATGCCAACAAGAGACTGATCAATTGCAATCTTAAAGACCAATGGGCAGTTTCAACTAAACATTACCAAATGAATTTTATCGTTAATCCTTGTTATTTTTTTGATTACTATTGTTTTTTCAATAAATTTTATACGAACAGTTAATTTTGTTTATTTGTTTTCTACTATTATAAGTTATCAGCCAAAGAATTAGTCGGATATGCTTGATAAAACTACCTATTAGTTTACATAAGTTATATTTTCCACATTGTTGCTTCTAATCAGATAGAAAATGACTGTAAATATGGTATAGCTTGTTATATTAACAAAATATACATCATGCATTATATCTGCCAGTTAGTAATTAACTTAGTAATTTTTATTTACTATCCGTTTGAGATTGAGGATTATGGATGAAAAGATTTATACAAGACAGTTTATTATTTTTTTTTAAGAAAAATAAGGGTAATTGATTTGATTCAAAGTTTCTTGTTTAGTTAGATCAAAAGAAGATAAGTCAAAGATGTAAAACAAATAACGTTAGGTAAATATTTTGTTTTATTAAAATAATTAATTACTAAATAAATTTTAATAAAATTAAATTTTTAAATTAAATAGTTTGCAGAAAATTATTGTTTCAAATGAATGTATGAAAGTTATACAGTGTTCTCATTAGAAAATCAGATGTCTGTTGAACTTCTGTTTCTTTTTAGTCTGTAACTTTTCAAAAGAGAACATCTTTGACCTACCATCCCCAAGTATCTAGGACTGTAACTTATGATTTTGGAGATGTAACATTCTCAAACAATATTCATTAAAGTTACCATTTCTGTCATTATAAATGTAAGATAAACTATTTCGGCTAATATTTTCCTGATATTGCCACAATAGATAGGTTAAGACAATCAATCTTCTTAGAAAACCTTCAGCCAAGAAATCGGTCACATTGTAATTAATATGTATTCATACAACGAGTTTCTTTTAACTAATCATTATGTAGTTCTTTTTATGAAAAGGTAAAACACTGGTCACCCAAACATTACTACAATATCTAACGATTGTGATATTGATTGATCAAAACACTAGTCAGATGTCTCTGGATATAGATTTCGTGCTAGTTGTCGGTTTTCAATAAAATATTTCGTCAGTTTTAAGGAAACTGAAACTCTTTGTGGAATTTGAACCTCTGCCACCTAGTATCGTAACCCGTTACATTATCATTGAGCCATTCGAACCTTAATTGAATTCACTTAGGACAGATACTAAAGGATAATCTGCAAAGATAAAGTAAAATAAAACCTTTTAATCTTTTCATATACAGTACTTTTATGAAGTCAAACAAGTATAATTACGCCTCAGAAAAATAAATGCTTAACATTTCATTTTATTATTTCCTACTTTCATTCCAGGCAATTTTTTCATACTGGATAAGACAAAATCATTGAGGAAATACAATTTTACAAAAAGTTATTACTATTTGAAATGTTACTGACTACATAATACATTTATGAAAGAAGACAATCTATATTTTTTCTATGTAGAGTTTTCGCATGTGTTATTGTTAGACAAAATTATTACCTGACTATTATAGTAAAATAATATTCAATATATGTTTACTATGGTCTACATTTTTTTGTCTTAAGGAAATTACATTTTCTTAACTGTCATAACTGTCATTCAATTTGTTTAGAATGATTCGTTATATAAATGAATATACTTCAAAATAACATATAAGTAAATATGTATATGACAAAATGTCACGATAAATTTTCGTCAATTACTGCATTAAGTTTTGTTTAATATAGGAAAATTATATAATAGTCAACACAGTAAATATTTTAACCGTTGAACTCACGAGTCTATTTAACCTAATCTACTACTAAGAACCTGGAGGCACTGGACAGCTGTTTTGTCAAAGTATTGGACTCGTTGGAAGTGCTCACACATGATTCGTCGCGAAGGACTCGGATCCAGGGCCTTCGGACTCGCTCTTGACACCTAGACCACTGAAGCAGCTTTTAACGGTGTTAATGTCTAACTTCAATCAAGTCTGTTATCTGAGGTGGATAACTATCTCACACTCAACACGGATTGGAATCCATGAGTCACAGCTTCTCACTAGAACTTCAGGAAATCCATCTTGAAGCTAGTCGTTAGTGAGCACACGATTAATATTAATACAAGTATTTGTGGAGATTGTTTTACTTTAACAGTTGAATCCACGAGTCGATCTAAGCTAGATCACCATTGACAACCTAGAATTAAATTGTTAAAATACTACGATCTCCACAAATCCCCATACTTATAGTAAATATTATCAGTATGTAATATTGTAGTGGAGACTAGTTTAAAACTCAAGAATATTTAGTTTAGGTAAAAGAAATTTCAAACTTGTCATAAATAATTTCGATAATTATTTCTAGTCGACAACGATAGACAAGAGTAGTAATTGAGAAAGGAACACTATTAAGTAGTTTGTATATGTTTTTATATGAGTGGTGAATTTAAAGTGTAAAATAACGGTAAGCTACACAGGAAATTCTTTGAAAAATTGTAGTCAAGTACTAAACGTATATTTTTAGTATAATAATCGTAATATTTGTTGTGATGTAGGCTACTTATGCTGTCAGAGATAATCAGTGTGCTGCACTAATCGGAAGTGCAATACTTAGCAGGAGAACACTTAATAGAAGAGAACAACATTGGAAACAGAAAGCAATTGAAATCGCAACGGAATTGAAGGAATCATGAAGTATATAGAAAACAACTGATGGTAGATGTGCAAATAAAGTAATCAATGTATGCTTCTTATATTTTACGAAAGCAATGCGTAATTCTGCATTAAACAATAAATTGCTTTTCCCTACCAAGTCCTCATTCATTAAAACTGTTCTGAACAGAATGGGAATAGTAATGTGAGTAGATATCGTTTAAATTATAGATTTAATTTTTAAACGTCAACGATTGAAGATTTTATAATATACAGATAAATTAGATTAAAAACCTTTAGAGTTCGACTTGTACAACAAAGAGCCATCCAATCAAATAACTTTGTATAAAAAACAGATTGGTACAACTGACTGACTCACTATGCATATATGCGGTCACCTGCTCCTGCTACAGTTGAAGAGATTACGAGCTCACCTAATCTGTGGACGAAAAAAGACCCAGTGATACAACGACCAGTAAGCTAGTTATTCCGACGCGTCTCGGCCCCCTGACTATAGAGAGAAGTCCAGGCATAGAAGGGGGAAATGTATTGCACAAGCAGTCAGAAACATAAACAACAAAAATAATAGGCACAACTCAGGCGTATATATACAGTATAAAACTTTCCTTGAGAAACGTTACAAAATAGCATATTAAAGGAGACAATGAAGCAACATCATTTAAGGTCCTCCTAGGTGGAAAATATAACATGAAGGTGAAAATGGGTACTTTTAGCGCGAAGACAAGAAATTCAACATTTTAAATAGAATCACAAAACTAAGGCATTTATCAAGTGAGTTCTGGAGATCTATCACTCCCAACTGTTCCTATGAAGCTTGATATGTAGATTGTTTGTCTGTTGGATTCATGGTGTGGGACGAGGTAATAAACGCCCCCTTATACCTGCTTTATATTATAAGTTCAAATGAAAAATATAACTATCATACCTAAATGATTATTCTAAATGCATACTAGAGAGTGAAATAAAACAGTATCTGCTAAGAGCTTAGCCAAATTGTTAATTTCACACATTTAAAAAACACTTCTATTTATTTAAGTGTTAGAATATTTAATGTTTTCACAAAATGGTCTTACTTCCTGATCGTAATATAGTTCAAATATTTACCAGTATTGTGAAACCAAATGGTATCCATAATGTTCTAACCTGAATTCGTGATTGATAATATCAGTCAGTTTAGTAGTATTACAATCATTCATTAATCAGATAGGATGTTAATTTTTATTTCTGTTCACACTATTTTCTAACATTAATATTACTTCATGTCACCAAGATACACTATAACAAAAATACACGTCTACAACTATCATTTAAACAAAGATAAACACTTATAATTTAAACAATCTTTCATTTAAAATAAACAATATCCCATGCCCATGTGTACAAAGAAGTTTAAACTAATGATATGAAATTTTGTTGCCAGTCTAAATCCTTCATGAAATTAATTTACGTTACTGAAAATCAATGAATATATCCTATTCATCACATAATGAATAGTAATCTAAATTAACCAAATTATAATTATCTATGTGAATAATTAAAACTAAATCTAAAGTGATTTGATATTTGATTATCAGTTCTGATTAAAAATTATTTTTTTTTTAAAATTTTTCTTTAAAAAGAAAATCATTTGATCTAAATTACACACGTCAAATTTAATTTTGTTTCCTCTAAATTTCGTCTATTAAAATACTAAAACAATTTTCTTTTCAAATTATAAAAGAAAACTTTTCTTTCAGTAGATTAAAATGTCAAAATATGAACAAAAAAAGAAGAGAAAAAGAAAAAGAAATTAAAACAAATAAACAAACAGAAAAAAGGTTTTAAAATACTTATAAATTTAATAAAAGTATACAGTCAGTCAGCTTCAACGTAGGATTAGGCATATGTATATATATATATATATATATATATATATATATATATATATATATATATATATATATATATATGCATTGGTTCAAGTTGCCACACCTCATTAGCATAATAAGATGAACACCGAGTTCACAGGAGTAGTTACTTCAGTGATGGTAATATATAAAAGAAAGATTGTGTATAAGAATAGAATACAAGAATGAAGAAAACATGTACATATATATATTTATGAATATGGGGTTTTGGAGATTATTAAGTTTTTAACTGAAATCCTGAACCAATTAATGTTAGACCTGGAAGCACTAGACGGCTGTTTCGTCCTATTGCAAAACTCCTCCTGTGGTAGATGCCTGTACTTTAGTATAATAGAAAGTTGGTCGCACAATTTCGTGGATTGGTTAAGGTTAGACATTAACATCGTTGGATGCCAGCTTAGTGGTAGAGAGGTTAATCGTTCGCGCTTGAGACCGAAGGCACTGGGTTCGACTCCCGCGAGTGGGATCGTGGATGCACACTGCTCAGGAGTCCTACTATAAGACGAATCGGCCGTCCAGTGCTTCTGAGTTTTCAATGGTAGTCTAACATCAATCGGTTCATGATCTCAATCAAAATCTAATAATCTCTACAACCCCATATTGATAAACAAAAGAAAACTTATTTCAATCTAGTCATTGTTTATAAAATATTTTCTAAACTTATTTAAACTTACCCATTTTTTTATCAGTATTTTTTGAATTCAGTAATCCAAATGCGATTGAAGGAAGTAGACAAGCAAAGTATAGGAATATAATAGTTGATATCGTTTTACGCATAGTATTTTTTCCACAGATACCTTAATTTGAATTTTGATAAGCGAGAAACATAAATAAAGTAATGTATTATTATTGAATCAAACCTATTTTCTTCATTGAGTAGTACACAACTAATGGAATTTCTTATTTTTCTGCCTTAAAGGTTGGTTATTTGCGTCGTGGTATACTTTAATTACTAAAGGAATATGACTAGATAAATACACAAAATGTTAATTCCCTAAGAAACCTATTTCTATGCAGTATATTTTAAATACTTTTAGGATACATTTCATTACGGGTTGATATCGTTCGAAAGATTATTGACTATTAAGAAGAAAAATATCTATCGATTTCAATATAGTCTGATGTTTTTCTGTAATACACATTTATGACACAACTTGAAATCAAACGTGAGAATGATACGTTCTAATTATTTTGACGGAATTCAACGGTCGATAGTCGCTTGTTGCACCAAAAATTAAAATGCAACACCAGATATTTTCGTGTAAGATGCCAAGAGATTATTCACAACCATATTCGTAATAGAATTAAGTTGATTCATCACTGACTATCACAATAATCATGTAAGTACTGAGCGAAGTGTGATAACTGTCTACCAGAGATCGGGATAACGATAGGGAGTAACAGTACCAGAGAATAGAGAATCGACAATAATTGATGAATTACTAGTAAAAATTTTTAGTCGCATCAGAAATACACGAACAAGAAAAATTACGGTAAGATGGTTTAGCGAGATTAATTTATTCTTTGGTTAGTATTTGTCAAGAAACGATAGCACTTAGAGTACAAGTGACAAGTGAGGATAATTGGAGAGATTATAATTTTATTTGGATGTCCCATGACCAGTTTAAGTTGTCAAATATTCGTGGATTTCATCCTCATTCCAGTAGACAATGATTAAAAATGGATCGTACGCAACGCCAAAAACATATTTCAAGTGGTTCTTAGTTTTCATTAGTATCTTAATCGATAGCTTTGACTAGAATGAATTAACCATTAAAATAAAAAAACATGAAAAAAACCACCTCTTTGAAATAGACTGTTCATGGTGAATAAAAAATGGAACGCGTTGAGCACTCTTTCATTTTCATAAGACAACTTATTTTTATCTTACACCAGTAAATCATTCATCCGATACTTGGGCGATTTGATTCAATTATTGATGAGTTTATAGGTATCAATGCCAAGGTCGGACTTGATAATTTCAAACGTTTCGTGACTTAATGTCATCCACTTCTTCAGAGTCAGTGAATAATTGAATTAAATTAACACAAGTTTGTACTATTTAAACTTGTGACAATTTAATTTGGTTACTTACTGACTCTGAAGAAGTGGATGACATTAAGTCACGAAACGTTAGAAGTATAATTTTCTTACTCACTGAGATATAACAAAAATACTTGTATTTATTACTTATTAAAAATGTTCAATTATTTCATTGAAAATGTTCTGAAACACTAAACATACCCTCAGTTATGTCCGACCAATAATATGGAATTTTACGCTTTAGATCTAAATAAATTCCTTTGCCAATCTTTGACTGAGAACTCTATTCAAATAAGAAAAAAAGATTAATTTAGAGAAGTCTAATTTGTTTTATTCCTTATTTACTAAACAATATTCATTAATTGTTTACTGAATGTGTTACAAGAGCTTCACTATTCAATTAATTGAAATCATTATGTTCCTATAATTTTAAAGAAAATGATACCTTTTTAAAGGAAGATAGACCAATTTAAAGATTCATTCTATGTTTATTTTACCTTAATTTTATAGTAGTTATGATCTTTTTATTTAGTCGAAAAACATATGCTTTATGTAACATAATAATAATAAGAACAAGAATAGTTGAGATCATGAGTCATTTGAATCTAGACCACCATGGAAAACCTGGAAGCACTGGACGACCGGTTCGTCCTATTGCGGGACTCCTCAACAGTGTGCATCCACTATTCCGCTCACGTGATTCGAACCTCGGACATGTTGATTTAGTGACTCATGATTCCATCTATTAAAATTACTATAGTATCCATAAAAAGCCCTTCTGATATTAACAATAATAATAATTGTTCTTCTTCTGTTACTAATAACTCACTAAATCGATAGTTTGATTTCTAATATCAAGATATTGTGATGATCTACGTCTATCAGTTGACTGTTGCGCTGCCAACTGTTGTGCTCTATCCCATAATAGTAATTTTACTTCTTTTTCATCAGTAGCAAATAATAATTCTTGCCGAAATATTGGATCAGATAGAATTGTGCCAAACGTTCGACCAACTTCAATTTCACTTTTGGTACCTTTCTAAAGATGAAAAAAATCGAACAGGTGAATTAACTATCTAAATGATGACAAAATATTTTTTGAACTGTTAGTAATCAAGTTATTCGTGAAAATATTGTAGAATGTAATGTGGAAGAAATCTCGTAATCGTTTGGTTTTATCTAGCAATCTGTCCGTATGACGAGGAGATTCTTCAAAGAGCTATGCAATATTGTAGTGTATGTTAATGATATCAACAGATATAAGCAGTGTTACCAATCAAGAGTAAAATTCTTGGCGCAGAACGTTAAGAAGATCGAAAAAAGAGATAGTGATTTGTGTGTAAACAAAGGTACAATGAATTCTGAGATAATTGACTGACATTTTACAAATGGAGTATTGACTGTACGGTTCTCAGATTTTACTAAGATATTCTAAAATGCTGTGTTGAAATACATTTGGTTGTCTCCGCCTTTGTTCGCGTTCACAACAATACTACTGAAATGTTTTTTATTATTCAATTATAATCACTTGTAAAGATTATTTTTATCCCGTGTAGATGTAAAATTTTAACGTTGTTGACAAATGAAATAATAAACAAAGAAATAAATCTACAAATTAGCGTTTCAATGAATGTTGTGTTCAGTTAATCTAAATTTAATTCACAATAGTTAAGATGCATATTCCAGTGATTCTACAATAAATTAAAATATTGAATTTATTTCAAAATCTAGTACAGTAACTAAAGAACTAAACATTAGTGAGTTTTGTTTCCTTATTAATTAAATGTATTTACAAACTCAGTCGTTTGAATTAAATGGGTAATATTGACCGTCAATTAATTCGAAGTTATTGAAATTACTTCACCTGATAATATTTCAAAACTCTTAGTCATGAATTTGATATTAAAGAGAATAATAATTATTATCAGAATGGGTTTTTGTGGATATTTTAGTAATTTAATAGTTGAGTTCATGAGTCAGTTAAAGCTAGACCACCATAAAAAACCTGGCAGAACTGGTAATAATAATAATAATAATAATAATAATAATAATATGCTAACTAGTGACTAGCTTCAAGAGGTATTTCCTCGAGTTCTAGTGAATAGTCCTGGCCAGTGGAGTTCAACCAGGTTTGTTGTGAGATAGTAAATCTCTAAAGAAAATTATGGACAGTGTCTCAGTTTCGTGAATTGGTTAAAGTTAAACATTAACACCGCTGGATGCCAAATCAATGGTCTAGATGTTAGGCGTTCACTCTCAAGTCTGATAAGCCCTGGGTTCGAATCCTGCGTGGGAAGATCGGGGATGTGCACTGATGAGAAGTTTTGCAGTAGGACGAAACGGGTGTCCAGTTTTTTCCAGGTTTTTCGTGATGGTCAAGCTTTAACTGACTCATGAATCCAACTATTAGATTTATAATTATTTACTGGCTGTTATCTTATTCTCACCATCAAAATTCAATATAATGTATACAAATATCAAAATTAAAACAAAATTACTTCTTTCGTTGGTGTTATTATGAGTACAATCAGATAAGTTCCTTCACTTGACCTGCCAAAATTAACTGGATTATTTAATCGTGCCAAAGCAAGATATCGTTTATGAATTGATCTTAATGAACACCTAATTCAAGTAGTAGAAACAATTTGAAATAATCTTATAACATTGTAAATAGAGTTCAAATAACAATTAATTGTTTTGCGTAAAGTATTTTAATAATAAGCAACTTTATACAGTTATTTCTAAAATATATTAAATAAGAAAGATTAGTTCAATGAAGAGTTCACTTTCCGGCGAATTCATTTTCAAGGCTGTGCAATCACAAATTTACCTCACTGTCACCATGTCTAACAGAAGTTCATTATCAGTATTATTGTAATTATTATCATCCTGTGAAATAAGTAGATATATTTGTGATTGCACAGCTCTGAAAATGAATTTGCTGAAAAGTGAGCTCTTCACTGAACTAATCTTTGTTATTTAATATCTTAATGGTTGTATTCCGTTTATTAAAAGAATTTTTAAAAGACAAATCTACATAATGATGAACACATGTTCTAGGGTTTTAATAAAGTAAATAATTTAGAATTAATTGTTTATTATCATATTATTGTCTGAAATCATTATCTTTTTGAACCAATGTTTGGATATTTATTTTTCCTTGAACACTGTAAAAGGAATAATGTCATGTTTCTGTATCTCAAACTAATTGAAAGCTTGATTATCTATCAGGCACTTATGAATAGTTTTCATGATCTAATTAATAATCAACACTGAAATTGAAACTAAAAGCTATTTGGTTAAAGATTTAAATAGCAAGGATATATTTTAATAAAAGAAACAACAGAAATACAGTTTGTTAAAGTTACTCATCTGAAATAACCCTTAAGATGACTAATTTTCAGTTAAGCAAATAATTTCTAAACGATAGTTTAGAAACTTCATCAGTCTGTGCTAAATGAAAGTTTTGATTATTTATCGATAAATGGATTCACTTAGTCCTAATATCACTATAGTTGAAAAAAACAAACTTCATATTAGTTAATATATATGAATGGTTGTATCATTTGAGTGCAGTGAGTGACTACTTACATGGCACAAATCCAACTTTGATCGGTTGACAAACAATCACCATCTCTCAGTGAAACTCCCTTGATTGTTTTTGCGAGCCTTTGATCTAGGAAAAAAATAAAACAGATGATAAACTCACTACATGAAAACTGATCAAATAAAGTATGATGAAGCTACTGTCTGAGAAATTAACTGAAACTAGTGTAAACTTTAGAGGAAATGTCTTATCAAATAATTAGTTCAAACATTTCTATTCCCAGTGAAATATTAAGAGGAACAGTAACGTTTGAACTTTCTGAAACTCGTATAACAATATCTATTCATTAATCATAATGAAAGTAGTGAAATTTCATTTCAAAAGTATTGATTATGCTGTAAATGTTTATTAAGTAATATTCATTATGTCGTGTAAAACCAGTTGAAATTTTCATAAATTTTGTTTATGATTGTAGAGTATGGTTAGAATTTTCAATATTCATTACCTAAAAATGTTTTACTTTACGATCTTGCAACATCCCGTTTATTTGAACTTCCAGAAGGTTCTGTAATACTTATTTGACAAAATGATAACATCTTAATGTTATTATACTGGTCTTCAAATCCTTTAGCCGATAACAGATAAATTAGTTTATTATCAGTATAAGATGTAGAGATGGTTAAATTTTAATTAAGATCATGAATCGACTAATGATAGACCTTTATTAAAAATATAGATGCTCTGGACGACCATTTTGTCTTAATTTAGGAATCCCCAGAAGTGTGTACTCACTACACAGCACGCCAGACTTCGACCCAGGACTTTCAGTTTGACGTTTCTCACACGAACTCCAATAATTACTTTTCGAATCTAGTCACTAGTGAGCACATGCTAATGATCAGTACAGGGTTGTGAAGATTGTTGAGTGTTTTGTTGAGATCGTCTTCAATAAAACATGAAACGTTCAAACAGAACAGAAAATTATCACGTTGTTACCATGGTTTTTAATATCAAATGAAAACATTGTTTGGTGCTTTCAGTCGTTTTGCTGTTTTATTTAGTTTGCGGGTTTTATAAATTGAAACGTAATTTTCATTTCAAAATTAATTTTAAATTTATGGGGTTACCCACAACTACTTGCTATGAACCTTTTAGTTCACCTAAGAAAAGCATACATAGCAAAGATCAGATTTTCAATTCAAACCTCTAACAAAAAGTACATTCTACTTTAGAGCACTCACTAGCTAAATAAGAAATTAGACGAAACTGCCAGAGATAAAACATACATTGTGCATTGAAGACGGTGGAAGTAAATTCAACCATAATTTCATTGTTAACTATTGTAGAGACAAGCATTTATTCATCTGATCGAAAAAGATTTGATTTAATTTCACAAGATTCTGTCAAATAATCTTCACAAACCGGACATCTAGAAAAATGAACTAGTTAACTTACTCCATAAGAAAGATTAAAGCCGGTTTTCGGTAAAAGGAATTCATTATTTTGTACTATTAGCTTTGGTGAATTTAGTAGCAAAATTGATCCCTTTATCAATGTTCACTTTTGTTTTTAATCAATAATTCTAGTTGTTTTATTGGCTAAACTCCAAATTACTTTTTCTTTTCCAAGTAATTTACATAAAATAGGATTTTTCCCTATTCTCAATTAATCCTGCTTAATTCAGAATAAGCTTTCTTCTACTAATTTATTATCAGTTTAACTTTTTGTATCCCCTTAACATATTTAAATGCGAGAAAATGTTTTGCACAATGTCTTCAGGAACTGGATATTCTGAATTTACCTTGTTGTGCATGCTACTAATGTCGACAGATATAAGTAGTATGTATCACTAGTCAGAAGTGGAATCCCTGACAGTAGAAGGTTGACATCAAGTCCAAGAGAACGAGAACAGAGAATAATTGTGATAACAACGAAGGTACGATGAAGTTTGAGACAATTGAGGGCGGATTCGCAAAGGAAGTATTGAATGTATGTTTTCACATTTTACAAAAGAACTTTGTAATTTTGTTTTAAACAACAAATTGGCGGACCTCACTTTAGTTCTCGTTCATCACAACCTAATTCTGTTTTTCAAGAAAATAATGAAACTACTGATAGTAGTTTTCTTTCATTATGTCCCCTATTCATTGTGCTGAATGAAATCATCATTGATAATATATTTATTTCTGAAATTTTATCTATGAAATAATTACAGAAGCTTGAAGTAAAGACAAATCTTTTATCTAAGTATGCTCATGATAACATATTCATGTAAAATTGGTCTCCATTATTTCAAAGGTTTAAATAGCAATAAATAAACCTTAGACACAAAAGTACTAATAATGTTTAAAACAATCAAGCATAACTAATTTATGTATCAATGAAAAATACGTTTAAGTACAGATAAAATTTATTCATCAGTAAATTACTTAAATGAAGTTTTACATTTTACATGTGTCGTGATGACAGTCACTTAAAGTTTTGACTCTTTACTCACCTCATCTTTTAATGTAATAATAAATAGTGTTTAATGAAAACGCTTAACATAAGTTATTCCTGAATGTTATTTATATTACTTTCTGTAAAATTCAGTGAATAAAAGTATCAAAGCTTTTACAACTACAGATTAGCTTAAGGGTACCTTATCAGGTATCCCTCACTGTTGTGTTTTGCACTGTAAGAGGAAAACATTTTTAAAAAATACCGGTTGACGACAAAACATTCTTTGAAGAGATTGCCAGTGAATGATGTTTTAAGTATTGTCAGAGTTTATACAAAACTACGACATAAAGTTTCTTATGGTTCTCAAAGTATCAAATGTTGTACAACAACAAAATGAGCTAAAACTATAGTTCATTTTACGATTAATTTATTTAAACTGAACATGTTTAAATTATTACTGGAGAGTAAAATTTACACATGATACTCAAAGATAGTTAAACAATGAGCATAATGTACTGTTATTTATCCGAAAAAAGTATTTACTGTTGAAAATTATTTGGAGAGATAACTGATTGATGTGTAACGTTATTCCATGAATGGTCAGTATGTAATCAGAAAATTATATAGTTTAAAAATTACAGAATAATATAAGCAGATTTAAAGAATATTACTTTTTCCGTTTAAGAACTTTTAACCAAATGAAACATTTCAAATCTATATCCAAGTTTACTGGAGTGATTATTGATGAGTTTGTAAAGGGAATTAGTCTCTTGCATGTCAATATACTACAGCTGTTTATCTTACGGAAGGAAGGTGAAATGTATTGATTTCATTATGGAAAATCATTTATCAGCCATCAAAACGATAAATCGTTACATCGTAAATGCTCTTTTTATCAGACTTCAACTTAATCCGCTAAACTTCAACATTAATCAACTTGGAGAATAAAGAGTAAAGTAAAAAAAGATTACAGCGATGACAATCTCTGAAAATTATTCATTAACAGTTTTACAATTATTTGTATGAACCAATTCTTTAACGCTAGACTATTTTATAGTACCTAGTATCGCGTTATATAGTTCTTACTGCTGATTCCAAAAAAATCTTTCTTTACTTTGAATTCTTTGAGACCGAAAGAATCTATCAAACTATTAGCGGTCATAGAGAATCGACAACAGTAGTACGTTTCTTTAAGGATACATCATTTAATTTAATGACATAAATTTCATGATTTGCATACAAATGATGGTTGGGGAGTATTTAATTCAAACTGGAGTATATATTAAACAGTACCATACAAAAGAGACGGCAAAATGTAAACATTATATGTACAGCGTTTTGATTTGTAAGCAAAGATATAACTTACATGTATATCCCTCATAACTAATCTGCATCATAAGAGAATTTTTAGCTTCAAGTTTCATATTTTCAATATCCAGTTTTGATAAATTAGTTTTATCTGAATTTCCAGTTATTGAAAAATTTACTTTTGGTCCAAAACCACTAGTTGTAGTCGCTGAAGTTCTTGACCATTGAACTGAATCGGTATCATCAGGAGAGCTAGGACTACTTGGTGTCATATTCGCTGTTGTAGTTGTTGTTGTTGATGTTGCTGTATCAACAATAGGACGATTATTAAAAACTGCTTCTAACATTGAACTAATTATATCCTCTAGGGTGGATCCATCCAAATCCAATAAAAGAGTTGCTTCTTTTATAAACATATCAATATCTAGATTCGCTCTCACTTCAGATGCAAAATCTTTAAGTGTTAATTTCTAAAAATAAATTTTAGAAAAAATAAAAAATAACCTGATAATTAAAATCAACATAACAATAATGATTTCCAAAAGGCAATCATAATCAAAAGCTGTTAAATTATATATTTATTATTAATTACTAACAATTGTTGTCTCACAAATGGTTAGCACAATTGTTTTATTAGAAGTAAAAGTGAATATTGTTGGTTAAACATCACTGAACTACGTAATATTATAAGTCAAAATATAGAATTAGTCTGAAGAAATATACTGATTGTAATATTTTATTGTTTTGTATGGTTTGTTGATTAGTTATTCAACAGTGAAACAATTTGGAACGTATATGCTAATATTAAAGAAACTGGATAAATTCATAATGTTTCAATAAAATATTTTGATATTTTCAGTAGTAGGCATTTTATAGACATATAATGTCAATTTTTATTTCTTTATACTAGGAGATATAGAGAAATTAATAATTAATTATTACCACTATACAATTTTGGAAATTATTACGTTTTTGACTGATGTTAGACCACCATTGAGAACCTGGAAGCACTAGACGACCGACATGGATTAGTTTTATCGGTCACGGCTTCTCACTAGAACTCTGAAAATTCCTCTCACATAGAGACAGCTATTTACCTCAGTATAATGGAAGGTGGTGGCGCAATTTCGTGAATTGCTTGAGGTTAGACATCAACAGCATTGGATGCCGGCTCAGTGTTCTAGAGATTAAACATTCGGGCGCGAGACCGGAGGCTCTGGGTTCGGATCTTTTGAGCGTAACCGTGCATGCACATTACTAAAGAGTACCACAACAAAACGAAATGACGTTCAGTGCTTCCAGCTTTTCAATGATGGTTTATGATTTCAATCAAAAAATTAATTATTAAAAATTTTATCTGATCTAAATCTTGAATGATTAGTTAAGTTATATTACAGAATGATGATACAAAAAAAGGTATAATGAAAATAATCAAAAAAAAATTAAAATTCAACAAGTCCATAGGGCATTGTAAGAATGAGTAAATGAGCTTATTTGTTTTTATTTAGGGGAAAAAAATTGAGTCTACATTTTTTATCCATAAAAAGTACTTATTTCATTTACTTTGTGCTGTTTTTTGCAGTAAGTAAACTAGCAATTTAGACTTGAGAAAATTTTCCTTAAAGCTTATGTTTTATATTCCTATAGTGTACTGCAAAAGAAATTAAATTTCATTATATTAGATATTTTTATAAAGGCGTATAAAGAGTCATTTTTATTTCTGGGTAAAATATCTGTATAATTAAAATAATAAAAAATAAGTTTGTTTTTTTCTCATTTTCAAAGTCTATTTTTCAAATTACTAAAATTCAGTCTAATCTAATTTAGATCATTCATATGGTTGGATGTATAAAGTATAATCTATGTCTAGTTTCAATTGACTTATGAACTCACTAATTAAGTTATTATCATATTCAATCATAATCACTTAGTGATAATATTCTATGTTTGTTTATTAATTCATATGTCCAGTCAATTTTAATGATTACTTATACTTAACTGTTTATGGTATAGTTTATTTATTATCAAATTTCTAATGTATTAACACTATATTGCTGTAAGTGTTGTTATGATATGTTTATTAAGTCTGTTGTTATTTATGATAGAACATTGAATTATTTATAACGTAATATTATGATATGAATGTTGACGTAATGGATATTACAATAAAATCTATTTAATTACATTTAGTTACTAAGAAATGAAAGGTAAAGCATATAAATATGCTTGAAAGAATAATAATTAATTTCTATCTAATGATACAAAATATGAATATAACCACGAAGCTAATTTCGACAATAATGATAAACATTTTAGTAGAAATATCTGATTTAATTAATGACAATAAATAAATAATTTGTTTACTATTTAATGGACTTTTAAATATCAACTCCAACGAATCGAACATGTGAGAAGTATAATAGTGAGTTTAATCTTGAAAATAATAAACCGAGTTGTTGGTAAAACAGATTCCTTGAATTGATAAAAGTAAGTTTTCAGTAAAAAAACGTAAGAAATAGGCATGTATATACATACTTATATATAAATATACATGTGAGGTAAAATATTTATTAAAAGAAGTATAGTGTAGTGAACGAGAACATAAGTGGGAACAATCGAATTTATGTGAATACAAAATTACAGAACATCTTAGTAAAATTTGTGTACCATACAGTAAATACTTCATTTGAAAAAATGTCAGTCAGTTGTCTGAAACTTGACAGTCCTTTTTGCAAATGTTAGTTAATCGTTTCAGACTTTATTGTTCCTTCGTTTCCACAACAATTATTTATTATTCTCGTTATCAATTGTTGATCTTCTTAACCTTCTGCCTTCAGGTATTTCACTTTCGATTAATGATACATACTACATATATCTGTCGATAACAGTAGCACACACCACAATAGTAGCGTTTCTGACGACACTTAACAGTCTATGAAATTCTCATCAAAATCAATTCATATGAATTTGTAAGTGTTTTTTTGTCAGAATCTTTGATTAAGATCTTCAATCTCTTCTTGATATGCTATGAAATATTCCATTTAATTGTGTTGAAAGTAATAATCCAAATCAAATCATTAACAGTTTAATTCTGCAAAGAATATTCATTTATAACTACTCAAAATGATAACATAGAAATCATTTTATCTTTTATCATACTTTTTTCTGCAGACGTCATATATATGTGATAAGTTAAAATTTTGTTGATAAGTGATTTCATGATATAAACATGATTACGATAGATTGCCTGAACCCAAAATTTAAACCAAATAATTTGTCGATGAAATCAATTTTCAGATTATAATCAAACAAACTTTAAAAACAGGATAGTAACTAAAAACGTATCAGGGAAATACGACGTTCAGTTTTATACTAAATATTTAATCGAAATAGTTTGAGTTGTTGAGTCACATGTTAATTTCATGAGTGAATGTAAAGGTCACAAGACGAAAAACGATCCTCCAGTCAACTCTTTTCTTTATCAGAGAACACTACAAATACTTCAAGGGTTTCTTTAAAAACTGAAACAAACAAAACTACATGAAGTATATAATCTACTAGACAATTATTCAATGATTTTCACTTGTCATAAGCAACTCTGAAAACCATGCAAAATTTCAAATTTTTTAGCTTTCTAACATACTCATGGAAATGAATAGTAGGTTTGAGTAAACATTTACTCCTAAGTCTTGTTATGTCACAACAAGCCATGCAAATCGCATGTAAATAAGTTCTTTATGAGATGTAATTTACCAACAGGTTGTTTCTAAATTTAAAGTATGATATTGATCCATGATTCTCTTCTAACTGTATGTTTTTCTATCTTTAATCCTCAGGTGAATTAAATTACTGAACTGTAGAATACATTCTGTCTATGCATGGATAAATTTTAAATTTATAATTCTATTATATAAGATAAAGAATGTAGGCTAAATCTATATACGTTACAAAAGTACTAACTTTTTATTGAATATTACTTATACTTAAAGTAAATGAATATCTACTTCAAGCAATTGTTTATTTTTCAAAAATAAATGTGAATTTATGCATTACGACAAAGTGAAGTAAGAATTAAACTTATCCAAAGACTAGTAGAATTATTAAAATTTATATCCTGAATTATACTATGCCTTTTATCTCAAAATATTATTATCTATTTATTCATTAATAGATAACGCAATTCACAGTGAATATGATTTATTAGTCTATAAGCAAATCATAAACATATCTTACTTACTTACTTACTTACTTACACCTAATACCTATCATGGAGGAGCATAAGTCGCTTATCAGTAATCTCAAAAAATCTAATTTCCGAAAGCAGTAGACTTTTAATTGAAAAATATTTCGGACTTAATAATCAATAAGTAACTCCACCTGGAGTCCCTTCGGGATCTACTACCGGTCCCAAGCCCAGATAAAGGAGAAGGGTTGGGCATGGGGTTAGCGATCCCATACCGTAAAAAACTAACTCGCTAAAAAACGCCAAAAACGCTAAATAATCAATAAGTAACTTGGCATTGATTTTCTTACGACTTTTCTAAGACCATAAAAATATAAAATTAGTAATATACCGTAGACAGATGCGTTGAAAATATCATGAAAATTTTACCATGTATATCTGATATTCACATGAAGGAGATTTAATATAAAGGTGAAAAATTGTACATCACACTTAGCAAATAAGTACAGGAAGACAATAGATGTAGATTTACTTGACACTAAATATAAATCAAAATGATGACGGTACAAATAATTTTCACGCGGTTTATACTTGTTGAAAATTAGATTTATATAAATGCAGTAGTACTTGTTGTCAGTTTCATAAGTTATTCACATTCTAATCAATTACTACTTCGGTTACCTTGTCAAGATTTGTTTAAAAAATACCATTTAAATTTAATATTTATTAGCTTTTCAGGATTACATAAACTTGAATAAAACATTCAAATGTTTAAATTGTTACAAAATTAGATTGTTTCACGATCTTCGAATACAAAATATATAATATTATAAACAACAGATTGAAACAGTGTAACAGCCGCCAGTACAATAAATTGTTTACATAAGTTTAGTTGTGTGTTTACTTGAATCTTTTTATTGATATTTAGCACTGCAACTGATCAGTATCTTAGTGCTATATGTGCATACTGTGCGGATTGCCTTGATATTGCCTTTTTTCACAAGAATTATAAATAAAGATGGATAGTGGCTAGCAGTGGAGTCGAGGACGCGCGTTTCGTTCTATTTGGGACTCGTCAGCTGGATGTACCTGAAAAGGTCTATCAGGGCCCAGTAGTTAAGTGGATAACGCGATGGCGTTTGAAGCCAACAGTATTGACTTTGAGTCCCGGAGTGAACATCAATTCTGTGGTGCAGGTACATTCAGCTGATTAGTCATAAACGGGATGAAACGCGCTTACTGGATTCCACTGTTAGTCACTATTGATCTTTGCTTATTTTTATTTTGTCTTCATTATTTAGCTTAACAGGGAAAGAAATTACTAAGGTATTTGACATTTATTTAAACATAATGAAATGGAAATTATGGAAAAAAGTCATTATAATTGATTACAAATTATGTCAAAATATATCATTTGTATCAACAAGCAATAATCAATGTTACTATACTTGTTATACTGTTTCGAAAATGATTGTTTTGAAGGCTTGTTCAAGATTTTTAATTTCTTCATATAATTACAATTTTGAAGTTTACCACATCTTATTTCTTTTCATTAATCAAGTTTCGGAATTATTATTTTTTACATAAAAACTATGAAAATTATTTTTTTACTATCTCATACTTCATACTGTTGTGGCTTATTAACAGTACAGTCAGTCAGTTATATGAACCCTATAACTTGGTAAAGATATGCAGTGATTTAAGTTCTCAAGCCATAGTAATATACTAGTGTACTAAAAGTGATAATAGCATTAGTTATGGTCGAAAAGATTAGACGTCAGATATGATTTGGAGGGGAATATTGAATCATGTAATCAAAAGAAACTTTTAAGATAATTAAAAAAATTAGGATCTAAGTGAAATCATCTGTACCATTCCATACGGTTCTTCACCATATTATGTAAAGTCGCCAATCATTGTTTATGATAATCATTCAAATCACAGCCATATGGTGTGAACCTGCCTATACAGCTTACTACAATTTTCGATGAATTAATAAATTATTGACACGTCTTTATTTGACCTTTACTAGTTTTTAAACTTTCTACTATACTAGCCAGTCAGGGTAGACCGTGTTTGGACATATGAAAGAAATTTCTCAACCATCTCAGATGATGAAAATTTCATACTTCACCAATCTATTTGTTATCCTTACCTAGTACTTTACGTCTAAACTCAACATGGCTCACTTAGTTGTTTCAATACACATGTGAAATACATTAAAGATAATTATGAACAAAGTCTTGTAACCTCAGAATGGCTTTTATTTTTAAAGGTTAGGTTTTACAAACATAAATTAAAACATTGAGATAAATGCACTTATATTTTCAAATATTGTAACATGATTTCTCAATATTTCTTCTGGTTTTCTTATTAGCTTAGTTTGATTACTGAGTTGTGCTGAAATTTATAATCTCGCTTTAGATTACTTAAGATTTTATCTGCTAATTAGATCTAGTTACTTGTTGAAAACAGCAATTGTTTCTAAATACTAGGAGAAAATGGCTCATAAGTTATTTCTGATTCTTAGCGATTGTCTAATTAATGACAATCCGTGGTGTAAATTGTAAAAAAATTAGTATAAACATGTTGAATAAGACAAGGAATTCTTTGTATCTCAGACGATATTATGAATGCAAAGTCAGATTACAATTGATGACACTATAAAAACGTAAAAAAGTTGCAGGAAATAGTTATGTGAAGATACTTGGTAATTTCCATTACAAATTGATAAGTTAAAGAAGCAATGAACATCGATCATGTTTGGTAACCCAGTGTATAACTATTCATGAGTATCTATCTCAAAACGTAAACCTGTGGAATTTAATGTTACAGAAAGTATTTTCAATAAAATGATCTTATTCAATGGATTAAATTAAGAAAACCGATTACAGAGTATGAAAGATTTTGTTAAGGACCATTTTGAATATATGACATTGGGTTTTAAGCATTAATTCATCGAGATTTATAATCTGTGGTATCGTCGATGTAACCTATTCGGTTCAATCAAAACAGAACGAAACATCTGTTTAGTGTTTTATTTGTATTTCAGTGGTTATCATTATGCAATACAACTAATTTCAACTTAGTGATGAATTCGTGCTCTGAGCTAATAATTTCACTACTCCGAATTAAATACTGAAAACAAAACTACTTTCGCTCTCTTCTTTACTCTGTTTCACTAAATGGAGTGAAAACACTAGTTTTGCGGATGAAGCTTTTCC